AGCACAGTTAGGGAAGATTTGACCAAGGTCAGACTAAAACTTATCAGGGCAAACAACGAATCCTGTAGGTCTGTCTCAGGCTGTTAGGACTTCATTCTCAAAGGGTCTACAGAGTTCTATTCCTGTCAACTTTTCTACATGTCCCTCTTTTGCTGGTTGCCCTCCCTGTACGCAGCTCTCCAGGGCACATGTCTCACAGCTTGGTTATCCCAACATCCTATCATCTCAACATCCAACTGTGGCTTCATCTTCACAGATTCACACAGTGAACTCTCACAGAATCTGCACCAAGTTTCTGACTCCACACAACAGATTGGTGCAACAGTGCTGAACTGAACCACAGAAGAAGATTCTAGGACTTAGAGGTTTTGTATCATTTTCACTTCCACTACAGGTACGACACGAATTGTCCCCCCCAAATTGGGCTTCCTAACTTGTGATGGACACTATGACACTTGAACCAATGCTGATAGATGCTGGTAGCAATAGCTTTATCAGAGTTGCAGCAGATGGCAATTAGAGTTTGGAAGTCACCCCACCAGATGAATAGTTCTCTGATGGAGGAACCCTGTTTCAAGGAAGGCTTATGATGCCATAGACTCAACACACTGTTTGCTTCTCTCTGTGATTTATATGTGTAAAAAAAGTTGTGGAATCTCCCTATTCCCATGGATTTTTATATAAACGGTACATGTAATCTCAAGATGACATCTCAATCTCATGGGCATTTACTCTGTGAACAACCAAAAGATGAATCCTCACTAAATTATCTACTTTACATCAATAGAGAATATACTGGGATATGCTTCATAACGAGATCTAGTCTTCCACAAGACTGTAATGCACATAGGCCCTGATTTCTATCAAGGACTGAGACTCTCATAAGAGAATGGCGATGTCTCCCAATTCCAGACAGGTATATACAATTCACATATTTCAGACCTCAATGCAAAACCAAAGTAGACTAACTGCTGCTACAATGAAATGCACAGGGACAAAAACCCACAGGTGTGATTGTCAAGCCAAGACCCAGCATAAAGCAAGTTTGGTGCCAGTTCCTCACTTGCGAAAAGTCGGACTGATAACATGAAGACAGAACTCCCCACACCAAGGCACCTCCTACCTGCACAGCACCAGAGCCTGGCTCCCAGCAGAGTGTTGCCATGGTTACTCACTCACAGTCTGTCTGGCCATGCAGTGTAAATAAGAGCTTTCTGTTGGGAATATGTATAACTGTATGGAAAATGAGGAGAGAGATTTCATGAGGCAGGAATGAGAAAGCTACCAATAGAACACTTTCCTACCCAGCAGATAGAAATGTTTGGTTCTAACCAACATTCATGGATTTTAATAATAATAACTATTATTATTATTTTCAAACCCTAGTACAGTCTTGGAGCTTGTTCCCCAAAGACCACCGTAGAACAGAATTACAGAAGGTTCTGTAAGGAGTTGCTTCTATGAATTAGGAATCAGGTTGCCTATGACTACACAAATTGAAGGCTTAGATGGATGGAGTCTTGCCCTTAGGTTATCTTCCTAGGCTTCCAATGCTAAGAAAGGCCTTCTCTTCAATGGTGCTAAACTTCACGAAATGTTCTCCCTCTTCTTCACCACAGCACTGCCCTTTAAACTGCCTCATGTTTGTCTCATGCTGGTTTTCTCTATTAAACTGGATCTTCATTTCTCTCTGTCCCATTTGTTTCTTTTTCACTGCTGATCTAAACGAGTCAACAGTGATCATCACCCAACATAATAAATCCTTTTCCAAGAAATCAGCCGATTATTTTTAATTGCGCCTTACTCAGATTCTCAGGGAATAGAGAAAATAGAGATGATATGGGGAGAAAATATTATACAAATGACCTCTAATTTATTCATGGATTCTATTTCCAACTAAAATCCTATGAGCTCAAGCTCCACTGTCAGAATTGCTTTCAATCCTCCCACCTTCCTAGTCTTTTTTAAAAAATATTTATTTATTTATTTATTTATTTATTTATTTATTTATTTATTTATTATGTATACAATATTCTGTGTGCATGTCCGAAGACCAGAAGAGGGCGCCAGACCTCTTTACAGATGGTTGTGAGCCACCATGTGGTTGCTGGGAATTGAACTCAGGACCTTTGGAAGAGCAGGCAACGCTCTTAACCACTGAGCCATCTCTCCAGCCCACGTTCCTAGTCTTACAACAATAGCTAATGAAGCTCTGGCTGTACCTTCTGTGGCTTTTGCCATCTAAAGTCCTCATATCGTTCACATTCCTCCAAAAGACAACGTTCCCATGTTCTACCCAGCAAAAATAAACACTTCTTGTATGTCACCTGTTGTTCTGACTTGCCTCTTTCCTGCTGTTATTAAATTCTCTCTAACCCAAATCATCTCTGGTAATGAGCGGTTTTACTTTATTGATATTGGAAGGCCATAACCCACAATTGTGAGAGCACAGGTTTGAAACTCAAGCTACGAATAGAAGTCAAAAACCACATGGAAACATTGTTTACTGACTTTTGCTCTTGCTTAGTCACTGGTCCTAAACTAGATGTTTTTATTGTCTTTATTGGGGGGGAGTTAAGTGTTTTCTTTTCTTTGTGATTCTTTTTTTGTTATTTTTATTTCTGGATTATTTATTTATTTTTTTTAAAAAGAAAACAAGATCTCTTTTTTCATTATACATACCAATCCAAGTTTTTACTCCTTCCTCTGCTCCCATTCCCTCCATATAACCTCCTACCCCACCCCCATCCAATCCTCAGAGAGGGTGTGGTCAAAGGCCCTCTCTACTATATCTAGGCTGAGTAAGGTATTCATCCAAAGAGAATAGTTTTCCAAAAAAACCAGTAGGGATAAATCCTGGTGCCACTGTCAGTGGCCCCTCACTCTGCCCTACTCATGCAACCTGCCACCCACATTCAGAGGAACTAGTTTGGTCCTATGCTTGTTCCTTCCTAATTCAGCTGGAGTTGGAGAGCTCCCATTAGCTCAGGTAAACTGTTTCTGTGGGTGAACCCATCAAGGTCTTGACCTCTTTGTTCACATCCTCACTCCTCCCACTCTTCAACTGGGCTTTGGCAGCTCAATCCAGTGCTCCAATGTGCGTCTCTGCCTCTGTTTCCATCAGTTGCTGGATAAAGGTTCTTTTTTTTCTTATCCTTCTCAGGCCCACTTGATTAGTGTAATCAGAGACTCTGTTTTCATTTCTCAACTGCCAAGACCCAATGAATCACACAGAAACTATATTAATTATATTACTCTATAACTAATGGCTCAGGCATATTCCTCATTAGCCCTTACATCTTATGTAAACCCATTTATATTAATGTATGTATTGTCACAAGGCTGTGACTTATATTCTGGCCTCTTCTCCTTCAGTGGCTATATGGTATCTCTTTGACTTCACCAATTTTCTCTATTACTGTTCAGATTTCCCATCTGACTTTAATTGGCTAAGCCATTGGCAAAAATAGCTTTATTCATCTCCCAATGAAGCAAGATACATACAGATGGACATCCACATCATCTCCCCTTTTCTGTCTAACTTAAAAGGAAGGTTTTAATTTTAACATAGAAAATATTACATATACAAAACAGTTATTAAACCACAATTATAGTTACAATATTTAGTCAACTTACATTTTGCAAAGGTAAATAATCCATCATCTTTCCTATCTTCATGAGTCTAAACTTTTATATCAAATATATAGTACCACAACTAAGGAAGATTATAATTATAACTATTTAGTTCTCAACTCCATCAAAAAAAACCAGAAGGATATATCATTAGCCTGGAATATCTGTGGAAACAAAAGCAGAACCTGTTTCCCAAAGTAACATACCTTTAACTCAAATTTGAGGTCAAGACACCTTTAAAATTTAAGTTGGCCTAGCATAGCAGTCCCCAGAATCAAATGTCTTTTTTAATCTATGACTCTGTCCACTGGAAATGATGTGGAAGATGAGAGGAATTCAGCACGGTGATGGAATGAGACAGGTGTGACAGCAAAGACAGGAAATAAATCAAAAGTTTGTAAACTTTCTTCAAATGTAGTACCAGTGCAGAAACTATCCCTGGTTTCTTGTGATTCATATAGAAGTTTTAGAGAAGACACTAATTCTGATCCATGCAAAATTACATCTGAAAACTCAATCAGTAAAAACCACCCTCCTTTAATTCAGAATAAATTACTTTGTGTCACTAGTACTACTTTGAACCCATTTTTTTTCCTGTAGGTAGGCAGCTGTAAAAATGGCTTGTATAATAAAAAAATCACAATAAAATATTTCCATTTTTTAAAAAGAAGGATATAAAGAAATCAAATTCTTAAATCACAGTCTCTTTAAAAATTCCAATATTTAAAAAGTAAACAATGTCTAAAATGTGTATTATTTGAAAAAGATGAGTAAAAGTCCACTGCTTAAAAAAAAAAGGGAAGAATAGGGGCATATCAAATAATCAAAAGTATTTGAGGAAACCCAAACAGAAAGCTATGCTCCAGTTCTTAAGGATATTCTGAACTCTCACAGCCTAGAGAAGTTCAATGTTTCAGGCTTTGCTATCCCTAGCACAACAACTTTTCTACCACACTAGCTCTATTCCGCACAGGGAACTATCCTTGACTATCCTATGGTTCTAGAATCTACCACACCTTCAGGTGTTCACTGTAAGTAATGTCCTCTCTGCAGGTGTTTCAAGTCTGTTAAAAGGTCATTAGGACCCCATGAGCCCTTCAACCTTGGATTGTCCATGAAAGCACCAAGGCAGAAGAACCCCCAGCAAACTCCCAAAAAGTGTGCGCTCTAACCAGATAGCAAATAAGGGTAGTTTCTATTTCTTCAACAGAATTGTTGTTGATTCTGCTATTAACATGATTATACTGTATCTACAGTCAGGAGGCAGAGAATGATAAATCTGGGCCCTTATTACAAAATCCAGTACCATGACCATTTAATGCAATAGTGCTCTCAATCCTGGAAGGGAGAAGGGACTTCTCATCTCAAGGAACTTAATATACAAGATATTATCTTGTAAGGACACCACAGAGAATAACATGGTCTAGGTAAGCCCTCAAAGGTTGGCCTGGAATAGTCTCCCTTGCCTGAATCTAGGTCTTATCTAGCTCAAAATCAATATCAACCATCAAACAAAATTAATAAAATTTTCTGTGCAGACAGAAAAAAAACTTGATTTTTTAGTAATATATCAAAATATCAATGAGCCATGTTTGAGGTCAAAGTATATAAAATGTTTAAAGTATGGGCTTACTCCTTTCCCTGATGTAAGCACCAGCACTTGGAAAGAGGCAGGCATCTAAGATGAAAAAACAAAAACAAAAACAAAAAACAGTCTCTTTACAAAACTTTCCAAAACCCAAAACTGAAACTAACGATGTAAGAAATTTTCTGAATATAATTGGTGAAGGTCCATAATTTTCAAGAAAATGTATAATATAATTAGATTACAGTAAAAATAGTATACAGATTTACATAATATGCTTTCTATATCTTCCACAAAGATACATCAATCAAGAATGTGTACAATGTTTGTGAAAAGAAAGGTGTTGAAGAAAAAAAATTCAAAAACAAAAGCAGCAATAGTCAACTTTTAATCAAAGACCACAGAAAACTTAGCAAAAGAAAATGTGATCTTGATCAAAGTTACCCAGCTACCTTTGATTATATGTGAACAGAAATTAAATGAACACAAACTGCACAATCTTCACAAAGTTATCTCAAAGTGACACTAAAACTGTTGTTCCTGACCCCCAGTTACTGATCTGTCTTCAAAGACAGAAGCCTCATGATGTAGATGTTCTCTTTGCAAGCAGAGGAGATCTCTTTCTATGGTTCTCCAGCCCCTTGTGCTTTCTTCTGGTTTCAGATGAATGCAGGCCCACTGATACCCAATCCCAAAACAGCCTAGAAAAATGATTTAAACTCTACTTCCTGCTATATGGATTATGGCAGAAGATGTGGATTGTGCCCTATCTACCTGTCTAACACATTGCACATCTGAGAAATCTCTGCACATCAGAAACTCCTTCTGTCCCCTGGAACTGAGCTTCACTGGATCCCACCATTGCAGCTAGTGGTAACACCGTGTTAAAAGCACTCTACTCTACTTTTGCTCTACCAGGTCCTAAACAATTTGTAATCTTTATAACACAAACCTGAAATTGGAATGCAATATTCAGAACTTCTAGAAACTAAACCTTCAGTTTTCTAATCTCTCTCCCCACTGTACAACAAAAGCAGTGCCCATGTGTGTACTCTGGACAGAGATACAACCAGCATCATTTCCTTCCATTGCAGGGCTGCAGTATTTCTATACACAAAGAGGCTCAGAGAACAAGGGCCACTGCCACCATGAACCACATGGTCCAACATAACTGAAGTCTGTCTCAGGGTCCATCCAAGTCACAGCAGAAATGTCAGCTCAACAGACATGCTCTGACCACCCAACACTCACTATGGAATAGCTTGTGGTCTTCCTTACCATTCCCTACTGCAGAGACAGAAGAGAATCATGGAAAGAAGCAACACTACTTGCCACTAGTACTCCTGATTACTAACCCTTCCCAGAATCCCTCACTGGATAGGGCCACCCAGCTGGGTCTCATAATATTAGCAGCTCCTCTACAGGAGGATCAGAGATCAAATGACTCAGACAGCATAGTCCTCCAGTTCTGCCCTCCCAGCCCAGCAGACAGGGCCCCAGTTTAGAAAGCTTGTATTTAGTACACATTATTCCACTCTCCTAGAGCACATTCTCTTCCTCATCCAAAGCACAGGGTCCTCTGTGTGCACATTCATTGCACACTCACTTTCCAGGGCATCCATCCCATTGCCTCAGAGGTGCAAAGTCCTGCAGACAAACACAAGACACATTTATAAAGTAACTACTGTTACTGTGTAAACTGTGTTACTTTGTAACTGTTGGAGAGATGGCTCAGAGGTTAAGAGCACTGACTGCTCTTCCAGAGGTCCTGAGTTCAATTCCCAGTAAACACATGGTGGCTCACAGCCATCTGTAATGAGATCTGGTGCCCTCTTCTGGTCTGCAAGCAAATATGGAAGGAATGTTGTATACTAAATAAATAAATCTTTAAAAAAAATGACCATAATTAGAAAATAATTGGGATCATTTCTATCCCAATTTGATGCTTGGAGGCATCAAAAAGAACATAAATATGATGTAGTTTTCATCTCAAAAAATCTTTGTAAAGTTGAAACAGACTTTTTATCATGTGCTCCATAGACTAGGGATTTGTATCAGAGCACATAAAAGATTTATCATATATTTCTCTAAAAATAAACATCTTAATCCAGAAAAGTAACAGTCCTGTGAAGCAGGGCCATAACATTTTACCCAGATATTCTATACAGTTTGGATAAACTACTGTAAATATAGCAACTAGGTTTAAAGGCCAGTCCCTTACCGCGATTCTTGATAGCCGTGGTCTGTGTACTCAAACAATGATCATTCAGGACATTCACAGAGCATCTACAATTGACTACCTGATTCCACAGAGCTAAACTCAATGACTGTTGAAAGAGGAAAGCTCTCACCTTCTGCCCAGCTGCTCTTTTTCTGCCCTGTGTCTCCACCAGCTTCAAAGTTGGTCAGTGAGTTCAACTCTTGCACAAGTCTCTCTTCTTCTAAGTCCCCAATAAAAGCCAGAAAGACCAGCAGACACTCATGAACTGTTCTACTTTACTTTCTCATTGATAAGTCAAGGTAAAACCTGGAAGGAGTTGCAGGACTGTTTTCCCAGAACTGGGCAGCAGAGGCAGGAGTAGGTGTTCAAAATGATCCTCAATTACATAGCATGAGGCAAGACTAAACTATGAGACATTGCTCTACACAGAAATCAATAATCAACATCACTTGAGAGAAATGAAATGTACTAACTATTAATGGCTTAGAAACTAGAGAACAGAAACAAATAGAGATAAGAGCAGCAATACACTGAAAGTATTTGAAAATGACAGCAGTAAGTGATTTTTTAAAATGATAAAAATACTGCACTTTTAAGATTAAATAAAACTTTCTATATTGACTTTGAAAAAGATAAGGCCTTTGTATAGGAAAGGGATGTCATTAATAAGAGATAGATTGATGGTGCCCATAAGCATATGTTGGCTGCTGAGCTCTGTAATCTGACACATAGACATAGTCAATGACTTTTTTTCTCAAATCTCTGAGCTGACATAACTGTGTCTAGAAGATCAATCATATCTGCATAGGATAGTTGCCTAATTGCAAATTCAGTGTTCCTGTCTCAAGATAACCTTCCCGTTCTGTACACCCCCACATAATGGTCTGTGTTCATTCACATGACATTAATTAAAATAAAACATGCTGGGAAATTACAAATTCACTCCCACTACCACAAACACGCCCTTTTTCATAATGGTGACTCCAACAGCTGATTGATTGTCTATGCTGTTTCCCCCGAATTGTACACAATAAACTATTCCTCCTATTGTGGCCTGAGGACAGAAGGAATGCTCCATATACAAATCCTTTTCCAGGGACTGCAATGCATAGTCAACTGCATGACTCAAATGCATAATTTTAAAACTGTGAGGTGGTACAGTCATTTTAAAAAGAATTTTGAAAGTGTACTGTAGAGGACAGCAAGGTCATTGCCCTGGACAGCAACAGGTAGGGACCAAGGCCACCTGAGTCAACATAAGAGAACTTCTCTGAAAAACAATTTTTCTAGCAGGATGGAAATGCAGCTGTTCTAGAAGTAATATGCCTTTCCATTGAGAAACCATTTCCCACACCTAGGAGATTAATAAAGAAAAACCTCTTTAATGATGGTAGACATCAATCTCTGGTTAAAGCTCAAACAGGAGCCAGCTACACAGATTTTGCATTCCACATATGCTATTATTTTTTCTTTAATATTTATTTATTTATTTATTTATTATGTATACAATAGTCTGTCTGTTTGTATGTCTGCAGCCCAGAAGAAGGTATCAGACCTCATTACAGATGGTTGTGAGCCATCACGTGGTTGCCGGGAATTGAACTCAGGACCTTTGGAAGAGCAGGCAATGCTCTTAACCACTGAGCCATCTCTCCAGCCCCCTATGCTATTATTCTTGAGTGTCCTTTAGGTTCAGGCTCCAGGTTACGCCTTGAATAACTGAAATAGCAACAGGCAACTTGCGAGGCTAGACATTTAGGCAGATGGGAGAGTTAGAAAGCAAAGACCTTCCCAGGATAAGTTTTTAAGTGCACTTGTGACCTAAATCATTCTTCAGTGACAGCGTTCTGAGGTGAAGGTCACAGTGGGTGAGAAAGACAGGAAAAGTAAAATGTAAAAAAGCTAAAAAGTTAAGGTGGGCAGGTCCTGCAGCTGCCTAGTAAGCTAAGGAAAATAGCATCTTGCCTGGTGATAGCGGCACAGGCCTTTAATCTCAGGACTCAGGAGTCTGGGCTCTGTGATCTCTGTGTGTTTGAGGACAGCCTGGTCTACAGAGTGAGTTCCAGGACAGTCACGACAGTCCTACAGATATAAAGGAGTGGCCAATGCCTCCTAGAGAAGCTTGCTAGAGGCTTGTTGGCAACTCCTTTGTATCGCTAATTCAACTCTTCTACTTTGCAGCTTGGAAGTGCAGTGCTACCCAATGGGTGAGCTGCCTTGATAGCCTCCACATAGTTAAATATAAATGGAGATTGTATGTAAAGGTTAAATGCAAAGTGCTCAATATCGAGAAGATGCTGGAGTTACCAGGTCTCTCTGAATGTGGCAAATAGTTTCCATGAATGCATCCAGCCTGTTGAAGTTGACAAGAAAGATGTTTGTACACACAGCACCCTGCTCCCAATTCTCTAAGCAGATTAAGCCCACAGCACAGTTATTCGGAAGCCTGTCTGTCTCTAGGTCTATGAATTAGCAAGGACCGCATGAGACTTTAAAACACAGGGAATCTGGCGGCAGGTTCCCACACAGATTCAGGGAGGACGCGCCATGCTGTCTCCCGCCCCTCACCCTCTGCTCCTCCCCATCTGGAGACAGCATTCCCCCGCTCACCATGTTGTGGTTTTCCAGATCGCCAAAGTTCTCAGTTCATCATCTCCCTGCAGCAGCAACGTCATCGCAGCACACAAAAACACTGTCGCCAGCGCCAAGGCAAAGCCGAGTCTGAAGGCGGCTGCCCGGAAGAGCTCGACACCGCTTCTGACTGGCAGGTCAGAAGGACCTGATTGGCTAGTGCGGCCTGAGCGACAAGAACACCTCCCTTGGGGCTATAGTGTGCTTAAAGACACAGCACTGTGGCTCCAGGCCATTCCAGTCAAAGATCTTTTCTAGATCGGCCAAGATATGCATTTCAATTGCACTCGCCCCTGGCTCCAAAATCAGACACTGTCGTCTTCTTGCACTCCATAGGAACTTTCCGTTTTTCCTCCAGGACACACTGTGGCTAGCTAGCCTGTACTGTGCACTGTGCTAGGTGAGTGCAGGGATTTCCTGTCCCACACTGGGAAGGATGCCCAGAATATTAACAGTTAAAGAGAGTTTTAAGGTCACAAAGGGAGATGTTTGTTCTGTGGCTTGCTTCATGCTGAGGTCGGATGAACTGAAGATACTTTTTGCATGGTTTTCACAGGGATTTCACACAACAGAAAAAAGAAAAGCAGGAACCACATCTTAAACAAAATGACAGGTCTTTCTCCCATCAGAAAGCTGGATGATGGCTCCATTGCTTTGCGAGTTTTAGTCCTGAAATTCAAAGCAAGCTCCAGGCAAATGTAAAATAATCAAAAGAGTAGTGTTCATGGAAATTTGAATAGAGAATAAGGGAGCTAGGAAGAATGTCTTCAGGAGTCCTATTGTTAGCCAGCACATCTCCCTCCATGGTCAGGTGGATAAAATATACAACTGCAGTATTCAAGATTCTATACATGGCCGGGTGGTGGTAGCCAACGCCTTTAATCCCAGCACTCGGGAGGCAGAGGCAGGTGGATCTTTGTGAGTTTGAGGCCTGTCTTGAAAACAAACAAAACAACAACAACAACAACAACAACAACAACAAAAAGATTCACTACAAAAACAGAACAGGGAGAATGAATCTCACTATGAATGTAGAAAGTGGGCTTATTAGTATGTCTCACAAGCTGTGTTTCTGGTCGTCCTGGTTCAGGTCATCTAAAAATAGTTGCCTACCAATGGCAATTGAAGAATGCAGGAGATTGGTTCTCTGCCTTTTGTCTAAGATCAAGTGAAGAATCCAGTAGTTGTTCAGCCCATGATGTACAATGTCTCAGCTGGTTTTAAGTAGTCACCAAAATTACAAGAAAGTAGGCTCTAAAGCTAGTAAAGAAATGAGCTTGGTAGCCAGAGCTAGAGCAAGGAGGCAAAACCAGAGACTTTTCTTCTTCAAAATACTTTATATGTGACTGCTGCTACCAGGATGGGAGATGCTGGTTAAAGTTGGGTCATAGTCTTTGTTTGAATCAGATTTTTTTTTTTGAGATTTCAAGACAGGATTTTTTTCTATGTAGTTTTGAATCTCATTCTGTAGGCCAGACTGGTCTCAAACTCAGAAAATCCCACTGCCTCTGCCTCTTGGGTGATGGTGTTAAAAGTGTGCACTGACACCAAGAAGCTAAAGGTGGGTCCTATAAGCTCATATTATACAGATTAATGGATGATTTTCCCACTTCAAAACCTTTAGGTAAAATCTCTCTCAGGTATAATCAATTCTTTATGTATTAGTTAATCCCAGGGGTATTCAGTTTGACTACCAAAAATAGCCATCTCAACAGCCAAGACAGAAGAAATGAGAAAAAAATCTTGCCTGCAGGAGGCACAAAATGCATGGAAGTTATTTTCCTTTTTTTTTTTAATAAATATTTATTTGTTTATTATGTATACAATATTCTGTCTGTGTGTATGTCTGCAGGCCAGAAGAGGACACCAGACCTCATTACAGATGGTTGTGAGCCACCATGTGGTTGCCGGGAATTGAACTCAGGACCTTTAGGAAGAGCAGGCAGCGCTCCTAACCACTGAACCATCTCTGCAGCCCATGGGAGTTATTTTCAATACAGTGTTTTCCCTCAACAAAGGAAGCATGGGGATTTTACTTACAAAGACTGAACACAAAAGATAGAGAGAAAAAAAAACACAGAAAACTTCAAGGAAAAGTCACCTAACAGCGCTCTATACAGTGTTCCTGGATGAACAGTTATGATGATCTCTATTACTCTCAGAGAAAAGCTGCTTTTGCTCTGAGCAGGGTGACTAGGCAGAAGGCCAGAGCTGCTTCCATGCAAGACAAGGAGTACATGTTAACTAGACCTGGCTTGCTGTCTGTCTCAAGCTTGTAACATCACTGTAGAGAATTTCATTCTTTCTTTTTTTTTCTAACGATTGCCCTATAGCTAATCACCAGGTGAGGCAGAGGGAGCACAGAACAAACAGGATGTTTTAGCTGGTTGGCCAGAAACTATCCTCAAGATGAACCACAGGATCAGGGGTAGATGCATGGGCCCAACATGGTTTATGAAATTTATTTACATACCACTGTAGCACAAAGTATAATTGATCTAAATTATGAAAAGACAGAGTCAGATATTGAGGTAAATGCTAAAAGATTAGAGAAATAAAGGAGTCGAACACAATGAATTTTCTTCACGGCACGGCTTTCATAGTGTCCCGTATGCTGTGCCTTCATTTTCTTTGAATTCTAGAAAGTTTTTAACCTTCCTTCCTTCCTTCCTTCCTTCCTTCCTTCCTTCCTTCCTTCCTTCCTTGAAGCAGTTCTGATTCAATTGGGCACTGTCCACTTTCCAAGAATTCGCAGACTTTCTGAGATTAGTGTTGTCAAATTCTACCTTTAAAATGTGGCGAGCCGGAAAGCAGCGCAGGGCATGCTGGGAACTGTAGTTTCCACCCACCGCCCCACGTCACGGGTGGCAGGAAAAGCTGCTAGGTCTGGCTTCATTTCTAGGACACTAATAGCGGCGGTGGGGGAGGACCTACGGTGGGATAAGGACAAGGTCACCACGACAGCCAGCAGCCCAGCAACCCGGCCTCTCTGCCCCCCGCCGAGGCCACCTCGCGCTCCTCCCCCTCGGGTCCCGCCGCCGCCGCCGCTAGAGCCGCTCGCAGCCAGCCCTGTCCGAGACCCCGGCTTGAGGAACCACCTCATCAAGAGCTTCAAGAGCAAATGCCGCGATGTGGTGACAATGCGAAGACACAGAAATGAAGTGACAGTTGAACTGGGGAAGAACAAAAGCAATGAACACTTACTGAAAAAGAGAAATGTGTTCCCCAGGAAGAAAGCTTGGAAGATTCAGATGTCGATGCTGATTTTAAAGCACAAAACGTAACACTGGAAGCTATATTGCAGAATGCTACAAGTGAAACCCTGTAGTCCAGTCTGGCGCTGTCCAGGCAGCAAGGAAACTATTATCCAGTGACGGAAATCCACCAATCGATGACCTAATGAAATCTGGGATTTTACCAATTCTAGTCAAATGTCTAGAAAGGGATGATAATCCTTCATTACAGTTTGAAGCTGCTTGGGCACTAACTGACATAGCATCAGGAACCTCTGCACAGACCACAAGCTGCTGTACAGTCTAACGCAGTGCCGCTTTTTCTGAGACCCCTCCATTCCCCCCATCAGAATGTCTGTGAACAAGCCGTGTGGGCTTTGGGAAACATTTTAGGTGATGGTCCTCAATGTGGAGATTATGTCATGTCACTGGGAGCTGTGAAACCCCTTCTGTCCTTCATCGGTCCCTCCATTCGCATCACCTTCCTTCGGAACGTCACGTGGGTCATTGTCAATCTCTGCAGGAATAAGGACCCCCCCCCCGCCCCAACCGCCTATGGAGACGGGAGATTTTGCAAGTTTTATGTGTTCTCATATACCACACAGACATAAATATTATTGTAGACACTGGTTGAGCTCTGTCATACTTGACAGATGAAGTGAAAGTTCAAACAGCAGCACTTGGAGCAGCTAGGAACATAGTGACCGGCATTGACGAGCAGACCCAGGTGGTTCTTAACTGCCACGTCCTGTCCCACTTCCCAAACCTCTTATCACACCCAGAAAGAGAAAATAAATAAGGAGGCAGTGTCGTTCCTTTCCAATATAACAGCAGGCAATCAGCAGCAAGTTCAAGCTGTAATAGATTCCGGATTAATCCCCATAGTCATTCACCAGCTTGCTAAGGGGGTCTTCGCAACACAAAAGGAAGTTGCTTGGGCAATTAGCAACTTAACAATACGTGGCAGAAAAGATGAAGTGGAGCACCTTGTACAAAGGAATGTAATACCAGCATTCCGTAACTTAAAGTCAGTGACAGACTCTCAGGGGGTTCAGGGGGTTCTGGATGGTCTTAAAGACATCCTGATAATGGCTGCTGATGACGCAAGCACAATCGCCGAAATAGCAGAAGAAGGTGGAGGTTTGGAGAAAATTGAAGTTTTGCAGCAACATGAAAATGAAGACATATATAAATTAGCATTTGAAATCATAGATCAATATTTCTCTGGTGATGATATTGATGAAGAGTCCAGCCTCATTCCTAAAGCAACACAAGGAGGTACTTAAAACTTTGATCCAACAGCCAACCTCCAAACAAAGGAATTTAACTTCTAAGGTCCATTAAGTGCATTATCTTTATTCAATACAAACACCATCTGATGGCCACCAAGCGATAAGACAGCAAGCAGCAGAAGGCTCCCAGCACTCTTGCCTCTTCGTTTTGATGCTTCTGAAGCAAGCCAGGCCTCAGTCACTTTGCAGTTGCCAAAGGTCACTCTCACATGGACTGTAAATGCATATGCACGATTTCCTGAACTGTTTTAGAATTCTCCTTAACAATCTCAACTACCCTATTTTTCCATGTTCCCTGGTGCCGCATGCTGAGAACTGCAGTCTCCAGTTAGAATAGTCCATAGTGGTGATATATCAGCTATCTACTGGTACTCCTTTGGAAAACGGTGCACTGTGGATCAAGACACTTTGGTATGATGGATATTTGTGCTGGAAGACTACAGAGTTGCAGGGTGATCTGAGCCTCCATCATTGTCCTCCTCAAACATTTTCATATTTGTATGTGGAAGAATTAAAGTACAAACCAAATGATTTTTATTGGTGGAACTGACACACAAAAAGTAGTAACTTAAAAACAAGAAACTTATCTTGCATATCACCATAGAACCTTCATCTGGTGATGGATGGAGAAAGAGACCCACACTGGAGCACCGGACTGAGCTCCCAAGGTCCCAATGAGGAGCAAAAGGAGGGAGAACATGAGCAAGGAAGTCAGGACCACGAGGGGGACACCCACCCACTGAGACAGTGGGGCTGATCTATCGGGAGCTCACCAAGGGCAGTTGGACTGTGACTGAA